ACTGATGATGTCACATGTGTCTCCTCAGGATGATGCTGCCGTCCTGTTTGAGGACCTCCGGCTGTGCGCCGTGAAGCCGGCCGAGCATCTGGACCGCCGCTTCTGCTTCGAGCTGCTGTCCGTCCAGAAGTAAGAGGCCGCCTGCGCCTGCTGCCGCAGCACGGTGCGGTAAGCGCCGCTCATGCACTGTGTGTGTGTGTGTGTGTGTGTGTGTGTGTGTGTGTGTGTGTGTGTGTGTGTGTGTGTGTGTGTTTGTTTGTGCGGGCACCAGGTGCTGCGCCCTGCAGGCCGACTCAGAGCCGCTGCAGCAGGCCTGGCTCGCCGCTCTGCAGGGCAGCATCGACCTGGCATACCGGGAGCGTGGCGACGCCCGCTTCACCCTACCTGGCGCCGGAGACCCCGCCCCCCTGCCGGCCACGCCCCCCCAGAGGCCGGCGGCACTGGGCGTGGCCCTCGGGGGCCCCGGGAACCAGCGGTGCTGCGACTGCGGCGAGCCGGAGCCGCGCTGGGCCGCCGTCAATCTGGGAGCCACCGTGTGCATCGAGTGCTCCGGGATCCACAGGTGAGCCGGAGCGCTGGGTTCTGACGGAGCCGGGTTCTTTTGGCGGTTCTGAGTGTCTGTCTCTCTGTGTCCCAGGAGCCTGGGCGTCCACCTGTCCAAGGTGCGGTCCCTGACCCTGGACTCCTGGGAGGCGGAGCAGCTGAAGGTACGGAAAGCTGCCAAAGGCGGCAATACTCAGAGAAAATCACCAGTGAATTTTCTGGATGCTAAACTTGGCAGTCCTGATGGCGCAGAGCGACGTTGTTATGTTGAAACCGTTTTCGTCGGAGCCGTAAGCCGCCCACACAGAGAAACATGAACGACCCTCCAGGAACTTCCTGTTTTGCAGCTGCTGTGCGTTCTGGGGAACGACGTGGTGAACGGCATCTACGAGGCCAGGTGTTCTGAGGAAGGCCGGGTCAAGCCCCGACCCGACAGCCCCAGGTGAGCCGGTTCTGCTGCAGAGTCGGTGCCGTTTCTGCCGGTTCTGATCCGAGCTGCTACTCTGTGCCGCAGGTCGGAGCGGGAGGCGTGGATCCGGGACAAATACGTGGAGAAGAGGTTCGTCCAGCGCCGCCCTGCAGGCGGAGCCGGTACGTCCCACTGTCCCTGAAGTATCCGTCCCATCCGGAGACGTTTGGTTCCCATGGTTACTAGAGAGAAACCGATCCGATATTAACATCTGTGGAGGTGCTCCGATTTATCGATTTCCTGAGTTTTGGTGATCGGCAGATATCTACATGAAGCCTCAGTGAAGCTCTAAAAATGAGTTGCTGTTGGACCGACGGCCCACTGGGTCACGGTTACAACTTAGAGACTTTCCTGCTTTAGTTGACAACATGTCAGACAAAAAGCCTCGGATTCAGCTGGTCAGACTTTTTGCATTGAGTGTCGGTGACATTGTGTCCAGTGAGGACGGATCTATTCAGTCTAACTCTATGCTTTGTGCTCTGAGTGGCGTCTTGTCAGGCTGCCAGAGTTCAAATCCTTTAGAAAAATAAAATATTTATCTCAGCCGTGGAGGAGTTGTCAAATAAATGCATAATTCAATATATTTCTGTCTTTGTTTGAAAATAATAAAAATGTTTGTTTTCCGGTTTTGGACGATATTTAACTTCAGATAATGGAAGTGAAAAGAGTGAATCAGCACATCGCTAATGTTTCCCTGTCATTCTGCTGCATCGCCTCAAAAAGGGGCGGGGCTCCGACTCTACCAGGCCTCCGTGGCCGGAGACCTTGTTTCCATGGCGACGGCTCTGGCGGAAGGGGCGGAGGTCAACGGCGGCGTCAAAGAGGAGGAGGGGCGGACGGCACTGATCGGAGCGGCGATTGGAGTGAGCGACGTTCCGACGTTCTTCTGTCCATCCGATCCTAATTTTGACTCTGACGCTGCGATTCTCTCTGCCGCCATCAGGGGTCGCTGCTGGCCTGCGAGTTCCTGCTGCAGAACGGAGCCAACGTCAACCGCCGAGACCTAAGGGGGCGTGGCGCGCTGCACGCTGCTGCCACCGCTGGACACACGGGGTAACTGCACTGATACACACTGACACTGACACACACACTTCATGGCCAACACGCCTCGCTCTGATTGGTCCACACAGTCAGGTGTGTCTGCTGCTGAAGAGAGGAGCCAATCAGTACGCTGTGGACGAGAAGGGGCAGGACCCGCTGGCTATCGCCATGGAAACCACCAATGCTGACATCGTCACTCTGTGAGTCTCACTTTCATTTTCAGATTCTGGATCTCAGTGTGTTCTGGTTTGTGACTCAGTCCGTCGGTTCTGCTCTGTAATCCTGGCTGCTGCCAGACATGGAGGAACTTCTGAATGAATGAATGAATGAATGAATGAATGAAGAGAAGCTGGTGGTCATTTCTGTTTTGTCCAGCAGGGGGCAGCACGTCACCATTCACACTGGCTGCCCTACGATGGGATCATGTTCCTCCTCCAATAAAATGGCTAAAAAACATTTCATATATGACCTGATTTTCCATAATTTAGCTTATATATAATGTACTTTGTGTGAAACAAAAGAACAATTATGTTGAACAAGTTTGTTTCAGACCATTCGAGTCGTTTTGAGGTCCCCATGATGCCGCTCTTCAGAGGAGATTCAGATTGGAGCACAAGTGGCAGTTGGCCACCTTAAATACCTCATGCTTGATATGATATGTATTTCAGTATTCAAATCAATAAAATGGTGAGGGTGCCCAAATTTCTGCACCTGTCAAATTTAGTTTTGAGGCGTTTTGCCCATTTTCTGTTAGTCCAATAATTCTCATTTCAATACTGAAATATCAGTGTGTCCATCAGTTATTGGATATATCAAACTGAAATGGCTTAATGGAGGATCCTGGACTTTTTCATATGACGTAAAGAATCCAGAAAAGAAACATAAATCACAGACTGTTGTTAGATTAGCTAATAGCAGCTATATTCATAATCATAAAATCAACATTAAGTCTAAACCATTCTACTGCAGCGGACTGAATGTTCTGACCTTGGAAATATTTGAATGTTTTTTTGGTGTTGAATCCTGAAACAACGTGGCGTTGTTGTCAGTTGCTATGGTAACGAGTCCGAGTGTAGGTTGGCTGATACAGAGAAGAAGTGGCTTTGAGTTGTACTCTGGTTTTTCCCTTTGCTGTGGAGCATTAATTCATTAATTACACCTTCATTTCCAAGTTTCACAGAGTTAAAGGAATTACTCCACGGCGGCAGCGCGGCTGTGGGTGGCATGTGAAAGTCTTTCTGCCCTCCAGCGTTGTCTGCATGCGCGAAATCTCTATATGTAACCAGTAACATGCAGAGCGTCTGTATTTGTAAATCTGATGATTAAATCAGGGCCTCACTGTGAATCTCACGTCACCGATTCTAAAATGTCCAAACGTCCGTATTTCTGCTGCAGATTGAACAGCCTCCTGAATTTAAACTCAGTATGAGAAACATTTCTTCTGCTACTGGCAGCTACAAACTACAAGAACCAATCACAGAACGCCTGATTCCTGAGCTCTTAAAGGGATACACACACTTAAACTGGGGTCGGTTCTGATGGGTCTGAGCTGGATGTGTTTCAGGCTGCGAATGGCCCGGATGAACGAGGAGATGAGAGATTCAGAGGGAGTCTTCAGCACCACAGGTCAGTCGCCTCATTAAGGAGAAGCTCGTTAACTCATTTCCTTCTTAATTGATATTAACTAATTGTGTTATTACATAATCTCCTCGTGAAGTAATTTTGTCACATAATTGCCTGATCAACTTAATTCACTAGTTATTGCTTCACTAAGTGCCTCGTTAGCTCATCTTCTCGTTAAGCAGCGTCCCTGGTGTGTCTCCCAGGTGACGACGAGACGTTCCAGGACATCTTCAGGGATTTCAGCAACATGGCGTCCAACGACCCGGAGAGGCTCAGCAGGAGGCAGTTCGGCCGAGGAGGCGAGGAAGAGGAGGAGGATGAAGGAGGGGGGGATAAGAGCAGCCGTTACTGACCCTCCAGGTTACCATGGCAACGTTTTAGAGACTTTGGACCAAACCAGCTAGGATGAAGATTATCAGAGAGTTCAGCTGTCAGTTCTGATCCGGAGCAACCCGGTTCTGATCCGGAGCGACCCGGTTCTCTGTTTCTTTAGCAGACAGGCTTTTATCACTGTAAACAGTTCAGATCATTTCACCAGAACCAGAACCGGCCTGGAGGATTCACGCTGAGGTTCTGTTGGTCAGAGGGACCCGACCGACCCGGTTCAGCCAGGAGGTTCTGGTTCTGGAAGGAGATCAACACTAACCCGATTGTTCATCTTGTTGTTAATCATGAGAATCTAGAATGTCAGAAACATTTCCTGGTGAATAAAGTCAGAACCGGTTCTGAACGGGTCCAGAAGCTGTTTCTGTTCCTCTGTTTCCTTCCCGCCTCGGATCAGAACCGCTTCACTTTCATAATCAAGCTGCAGAAAACACATGAGGTCTCACTCTGACACTTTTACAGACATTGAACTCATCATCAACCAGTTAATTTAACAATTTAGAATTTATCCAGGAAAAGCTAGCTTGTGTGCTAATGCTATGTGCTAATGCTTTCAAAGTTAGCTTAACCACTAAATGAGAAGTTTGCTCTTCCCGTCCAGGATATTTATTACATGTTGAACACTGTGTTTCTTAAGGATTTAGTTTTACGTGATAAAATCTTCAGTTATTAAACTTTCTGGAGAGAAGCTCATGAGTGACCTGCAGGAGCAGAAAAGCTGCTATTTATCCAGAAAATCATCTCAATATATGAGCTGGCAGAAACATGGAAGTCCCGATTACTGCAGCAAACACCCACCGCTGCCTTATGGGTAAAAAAAACAATAAAACAAAACAGGTTACATAATAAAGGGGGATCAGAGAGGCAGCCGTCTTTTCTTTAAGGCACCAGAATGACAAAATCCACTGTATCTTCATTCAGTACAAAAAAAACACCAACACAGTGAACCATGACGTTTTATTGGTCTGCGTGTGTTGGCTGCCATCTACATCTTGACCACTAGATGGCAGTGAATTCCACAGCATGCTTCTTTAACGCCAGCAGGTTCCAGCGTTTTATGGCTGTTGGCTCCTCTAGATCAGAACCTAAACGATGACGGAGGTCAGCTGGATGTCTCCTTCGATCTCCAGGCCGTTGATGTTCTGCAGCGGAGAGAAGCGGTGTTTGTAGGTGTGGGCCTGCATCCAGTTCACCACCAGACGGAACAAGTTGTTCTCACAGATAACGGTCAGCTGCAAGAGGCAAAGGTCACATTTAACTTTAACAGAAATAATCAAAGATAAGACTTTATTGGACAAATAGATGTTTTTAAGTTGGTCGCTTTTTAAGTCTTTCCCGTTGATTATCCATGAATTAGGAACATGATTGAAACTGGCAGCATGACCTAATTTGTAGTAATTCAGTTGATGATCACCCTTAAAGCATTAAAATTTTATTCCCAGATGGTCAGTTGATCCATAGATATGGAAAAAGCAGCAGAGAGATTGTGACGTTAGAAAGTAACGCCTGCCGCAGCGAACACTGAATTCCACACCATTGATCCCAGTACACATGCGCTGTTCAGAATGGGTTCACATAGGTTTGAAGACGCTTCTAGAGCCGTCGTACCGTGAAAGACTGTCCTCGATGGAAGGGCATGCCGCCGCCGCGCTCCTCAGAGCCCCACTTGTCCCACTGCTTGGTGTTTCGGACCACAACGTTCTCGTTGAATCGTGGATTGTAATGTAGAGCGATGCCAGACTGGTGGGTGAGGTTCATGTGGAACCTGAGAGGAAAACAGAAGTTTGAAACTTTAGTGGAAAATCTGAGTCTAATTGAATGATGAACATCGGATTTATTTACTGCACCTCGTAAGGGAAGGAGCTACGATAACGCTACTTTGTGCACTGAGGATACCAACGGATGGATGGATGGAGGGAGGTTCACGAGGTTCTGAGTCCAAACATGAACCGACTTCATGACCTGATCAAACCAGAGTGACTCCTGGAGTGAAACAGGAAGTTGTCCGGACCAAGGTCCCTCAGCGGACCCAGGAAGCCATGACCTTACCAGAACTGGTCTCTGTTTCTGTTCAGGTTCATCGGGTCATCGTTTCTGCTGACTTCAGATCAAATCATTGTCTCATGACAGACCTGCTGAACTTCCTGCCGCACCACCCAGATGTTCTGCTCCGGTTTCAGCGAACACTGGATGCCAGCTCTTTTCCTATCTGGTCAATGTTTTTTCCTGAATTAGTCAATATTTTTAAATCCTGAAAGTCCAACTGTGATAGAAACAGGTTTTCCTGAGATGGACTGAGGGACTGATGAGTCCACATGTCGTGTTTGAGGAACGTTTGGAGGAACAGCAGCAGGACTCAGACTCCTGGTTGATATTTATGGGTTTTATTGGATGTTATTCTCTCTGTGTTCTCTACAAGCTGATTAATCCTCGTTAAGCTCCGGCTGTTTCAGTATTTGATGTAAGACGGTAACAGAGGTGGACACTTCTGCTAATCCACTAATAATGGAGCTGACTTTTCATGTAGTCCTTTAGCATCTTCGAAAGCGTTTAGGAAACGTAGCTTCCCGTAAATTAAGTTTTCTAGATTGTGTTCGTATAGCGCTTTAGCGTTAGCTTGTGCTGATTACCATGTTGGTATCACATTTCAGCATTGGCTTTTGTGAAATATTGTGCTGGTCTATCAGTTCAGTATTAACTTCTGCTACTTAGCCTGTCAGCTTTCGATAAATACCCTGTTGGGATTGTGCGTAAGCTTTAGCTTCAGCTACATATTGTGGCGATGCTATAGCGTTTACTATTAGCTTTTGCTAAGTACCTTGTTGGTACAGTGCTTTGGCATTAGCATCTGCTAAATATTGTGTTGGTATAGCACTTTAGCATTAGCTTTAACTAAATATCATATTAGTATTGTGTTTTAACTTTTCCTGAATACCATGTTAGCATAGCACTTTATCATTAGCATTAGGATCTGCTAAATTCTGTGTTGGTATTGCGCTTTAGCACATAGTTAGCGCATGTAGCTTTTCAGTTAGCGGTTTCCAGCGGTGGACGTGACATGATGAAGGTTTGGTTTCACCTGGTGGCGCTGGGCTGGACGACGCCCTGGATGGTGATGGTCCTGCCGGGCTGGAGTCCGCTGCTGATGAAGTTCTTGTACGGAACAACCTGCGGAGAGAAGGAGAAGAAACTACCAGTGACAAAACTCAAATCTCAGAGCTATAACGTTGACTGAGGAGGTTCATGTTTTATCTGAACTCACAGGCGCTGCAGGAGGAAATCCAGGCTGAGCTGGGAATCCTGGCTGGGGGGGGAAGCCGGGGTAGGACGGGAAGGCGGATTGGCTCGGGAAAGCCTGCTGCGGAAACGGCTGCACAGCAAACTGTTTGCTTCAGTCACAGGAAGATTTCTCTACAGGACAGCTTCATTATCAACCTCAAACTCCCACGCTCCTTGAACGCAACATGTTTTTTGCTCACCACTGGAGTGGAGAAGGAAATGGAGGAAATTTCCACTCTTCCACCGACTGTAATGGTGTCAACCTGCTGGAACGGGATGCGATGCCTGTAGTCCATGAAGTGGCTGCCGTTCACGCTCACCTGCAGGGAAACAGCAGTTCACTTTCATTACTAGCAATCCTTCAAACTCTTCAGCTCTTTACCTTCGATTACCTCCAGTCTGGAGAAAACAGAAAAAGTAAGCAGCTTCGATCTACATAAAATGACTTTAATTATTTTAATCCAAACTTTCTTTGTTTTACTTTTATTTATTCCTCCTACAGTGATGGAAACATGATTATAATGAAGTTCCTGAGAACCTGTGAGCAACGCTTCACTCTGAATGTTAATGGGACGGCAGTGAGTGAAACCAGATGTTTGGACCTCAGCAGCTCAGTAATACTTAATGCCAGAACCTTCATTCAGTGATTAAATGACTCACTGCAGGCTGAACTTTACCTGACCCACTTACCATTTTGATCCCTCTAACAGTTTTCACACAGTTTAAGTTTGAGGTTTTTTTCAGGTTGAGTCTCGTCCTCACAGGATCCAGTTTCTACCTCCAAATATTCGCATATCATTATCTTTTTGAAAGATCCAGACTTTTCCTGTTTTCCACTTCTTGAACAAAGTTTTTCAGTTCAGTCTGAACGCTTCAGCTGATGTTCAGTTCTGGTTGGGTTTCAGCCCGGTTCTCCCTCGGGTCCGATCTCAGAACATCTGGTACTGCTAGCTAGTCCAGCTAACCTGCAGCACTAGAAGATAGTGGCTTCCCGTTAGCATCCTCTTAGCTTTCCCTTAGCTCCCTGCTAGCTTTCCGTTAGCTCCCTGCTTGCTTCACGCCTCATTCTCATCAGATTCTTGGCAGTTCAGTTACATATTTCTTTCTCAACACGTTTCTTGCGAACTGGTTGTCTACCTGCAGGAAAACGTTTGGTGGTTCTGAGATCATGAGCTGATATCTGAGCAGTTTTAAAAGTGCTGCGTTGCTCTGAGAAGTAATTTAAATGTTAAATGTTTTTTGGCCCTTTTTGACTAAAGAAAAAAGCTGGATAATTATTATACATCGATACATATTGATATTTGTGTTGGCCTCTTAGAATCACACAGATAAAGATCACCAGCTATCATTAAATACAAGATGTATTTAAGTTTATGCAGGTTGTAGTTAGGAAATTCGCCTAAAAATGATGTGGTGAAACACTAATCTGCCTAAAAGTTGTGCAGACAGTGTGGCTTTTCATCAGGACGTTCTGAATCTCAAAGTTTAGAAATATTTCACACCGTTCACACAGTAGCTGCGTTTCCATTGACCACAGAATTATGCAAATTGAAATTACAAGTATACATTTATTACTTACTGGAAACACAAAATATTTGAAAACACATTTTTCAACAAAGTTTTTTACCAAAGGCGGTTTTCAGTTTTTAGTAGAAATGGACTCGTTGCTCCAATGTCTCCTCTGATTGGCTGATGGATAATGAGCACTCAATTATCTTTTCTAATTGTTTGCATCTGTCACTGCCTTAATTTTTAATTAGTTAAAATTTAACATAATTGTGAAAATATGTTTTGTAGACATTAGCAGAACATAGACAAAACTTTGCAGATGTTTGTAATGGAAACGCAGCTGCTGACTGTGGGCTCCCCTCCCCCGCTCGCTCCGGAAAGTGGAGGGAATCACCATAGCAACCAGTGACTCAGCATTTTTAAGGGAGACATTTTGTGTCGACTCTTTGAGAAGCGAGCTCTCCACAAACCAAAACTCAAGACTGAGTTGGAGGTGGTTCTGGTCAGGTTCTGGTGGTGTTCTGGCCGGGTTCTGGCCGGGTGCGGTGCCGGACCTGGTAGAAGTCCCGGGTGACGGTGATCTGCAGGGTGAAGTTGCTGCCGGCGGGCAGCGGCGCGTGCTGCTTCCTCTCCTCGGAGCCCCAGTTGCCGTACTGGAAGCTGTTGGTGACGACGTAGGGATGGCCGTCGTAGCGCGGGTTGAAGTGGAAGGCGATGTCCGCCCCGCTCCTGGAGCCGCACTGGAGGTTCACATGGAACCTGGAACACAGACCAGTTCAGACCAGTAAAACCAGCTCCGTTGGGCTGATGTAAACACACTCTGAAGACGTTATGTTGGCCAATTTTAATTAAAAAAAACTGTTCTCAGTTTCTTTTATAAGAAATTACAAATCCTCAAACATGCTTGTTGGACAAGATGGCCGCCCTGGTGAGCTGACATCACTGGAGAGAGATCGGTGCTTCTGCTCGTTACCATTATAGTCTATAATAGAACTACTTGCTTTTTTAAGGAAGTCATTAGAGGGGTCTGAAAAGTTGCAAATGTAACAACAAACTTGCTAATTTGGCTAATTTAATCGGTGGACGGACGGACCTGTCCACGCCTGGAATGACGCGTCCGCTGATGATGATGGACTTCCCCTCCTGCAGGCCGCCGTGGATGGATCCGGTGAAAGGGATTGGCTAGAGCACAGATCAACACGCAGAGCAGAACATTTAGCTTACAGTGGAAAGAACAAAGGTCAAAGGTCACTGTGGGAACTGACTTCTCTCTATCAGCCTGCTGCAGCTGCTCTGTACTGACTCCTTGATAATAACTGGCAGGAAACTGAGCTTTCCGTTACAAATCTCAGACATCCAGCTGCTGCAGCATGTTTTCATCCGTTTTTATCCGTTTGAATCTCCGTTGGCTGAAATGCGCAGCAGCAACTGAGCGGTAAACGACTGACAGTCGCTCCGTAGTTACTCGCCTGCTTCGATTCACTTCAGGGCAAAATGAACTGGCAGGAAGTTCAACGTTGCTGCCGTTTGTTTCATTTATTAACTTCAGTCAAATTTTAACTCTTTTGTTCTTGTTTCTGTGTGGAAACCCGGTTCTGTCTGCTTGGGGTTATCTGGAGTCATCTCTGTAGTCATGGTGCTACAGGCTGAGGAATAATTCTCCACCTTTACTCACTTTCTTCTCCTACTGCTCTCCAGTTTGCTTTACTTGCTGGTATTCTAACTGTTAGCTTCATGTTTTCAGTTACTTTCTCTCTGCGTTCTGATTGGCTGATTCCTTCCTGGAAACTAATTTGAATAATTAACTCAATTTTATGTATTGATTGATAACTGGGATGGATGATCAGATTCAAGTAATGTTTTGGGGAAATGACCTTGAGACGACATGTGTTGTGAATTGATGGAATAGAAATAAACTGAATTAAATAGATTTTTTCAGTATGAAGCTACAAAACAAAGTGAGCTGCATCTCATTCACTTCCTTTGGTTGGATTGTTTTTCAGGCTGCGGTTTGTAGTTTTAACACCTAGCGCCATGTTTGTTTAGCAACTTTGAAAATGAATTTAATCAGCATTTGGCACATTTAATTACACAAAACTTTAGCTACAAAAATGATGATTACAAAAATGAGTCAGAATTGGTTTTAATGTTGTAATTATGAGATAAAAAGTCGTAATTACAACTTATTTTGTGAATTATGTCTTTTATTCTCATAATTATGACTTTAAAACTTGTTGACTTCTGGCTGGGCTTGTAGTTTTTCTTTTATGGCAGAAATGAACTTCCGTAGTGAAAAAACATTTTTAAAAACATCTCAGTAAAGAGAAGACCACAGAGCAGGCGGCAAGAGAAACTCAGGATGAAATTTACTGTTTTCTGAGTCCTTTGTGAATGTTTTTGGTAGATTTTACTAAAGTAAATTCACTGACATTAACATTCATTCAGTGCCGTTCTGCTGCATCCACGGTGCATAAAGCAGCGTTAACGCAGATCCTTCCTCCAGCAGCCGTTACTCCAAAACATTCAAACCCAGAAAGTATTCACACCCTGCTGCAAAGTTTTATTACTGTTGTTTTTAATTCTCATTTTGTACATTTCAGTGATTATCCTGAGTTTTCACCAAGCAGGTGAATCTAATCTGATCCGCTGTTTTGGATCAGATAACTTACAGGATTCATGTGGTCATTTTGTCCAGTATGTTGTTCTTTATTCTATTTTTGTGTATTTAACATTTTTATCTTTGTGTGAATCCTTTAGCTTCCTGTCATTTTGTTCCTCTCTGTGGGACAATAAGATATTTATATTCTATTTTTTTCTTCTAACAGGATATAATTAATTAGAATTTGATGAAGCAAAACTCCAGCGTGTATTCCTGGTAAAACTGAGGCTCATTTGCATTTGCAGATTTCAGGAAATTGACTCTTTCTTGATGACTGCAGAGAAACCAAACTGTAAAAAATAAAAAGTATTTCATGTTGAATTTTACAGAAATGATCCTGCAGAAAGTTTGCTGGAAGGGGAACCACCAGCAGCGTTTTTCTGGTTGGGGATGTTTTATTTTTGGTTTTCTCCTTTAAATAAGTGAAACTCATTAATGTGCCGAACGTATTAGAGACCAAATAGTTTCAGGTGTGTTTCAGGCCCGGTTCTGACCCAAACTGGTTTATTTATCTCATATTTTAATATTTTCAGCAGTTTTTCTGGATCTTTTCTTTCGGTTTAATCTCCTTCCTGTTATTGATCTTCGTCTTTTGACGCCTGCCTCTCGACTTCCTGTGATTTTCATCACTTCCTGTCTGTTTCTGTAGCTTCAGATAAGGTTCTTGATCCCGTCACTCCAACAAACAACAAACTGCGGAAATCTTTTCCTTACTCAGGAAAATTTTATGATGAAAGTATGAGACGATTTATACTTTATAAAACTTAATTTGCTTTGAAAACCACATTATCTGTTCTCTAATTTGATTTCTTTTGGTCATAAAATCAATATTTAATATATTATAAAACTGTAAATAAGCACAAAGAAGCAAACAATAAAAGGCTTGTGTTTATTGTTTCCATATTTAAATCTGCACGTTAAACAGTCCCAGAGTTTATGTTGGAGTGAGCCCTCTTGTTTTTAAAGCAGCTTTGTCCTTTTGTTCCATCTGATGAAGATAAAGACCCTGTTCTCACTGATGTCACATTATTCATTGCTATTTTCGTTTTACTCCTTAAAATACCAGAATTTGACACAAACTTAATATTTTTTTTCCTCTGTCATAATTTTTAAATAACTTCAGATGATCTGATTTGTTCCTCAGTCCTCGTCGACTTTTTAAAAAATCTTTTTTTCCCTTCTTTTCTTACTGAAGGTTTTCTTAGTTTTTTTAGTAAAGTTCATGCAGCCCATCGCTCCGTGAGCATCAGAAGGAGACAGAATAGAAACATTGTTTCACATGTTTCACATGAGGAGCTGAAGAATTCAGCCAGAGGTCAGAATCAGGAAACCGGAGCTTCAGACTTTACAGTTTGGGTCAGAATAATCTGAGCAGCTTCACCGCAGCTGGAGGGAAATGTCACACAAACATCTGCATTCAGGGAAACGTGAAACATCTGGGATGAACCTGCTTCACTTTTCATGAAGCGTCGTCAAGCTGATTGTCGGAGCAGGAAACGACGGGCTTCGCCTTCATAACGGAAACATGAAGCGATGAGAATAAAACTTTACTCACCGGGTTGTAGAACGGAGACTGGTTGAAAGCCATGAGCAGAACCGACACCAGAACCGAGCTGTGGGAGCACAAAATGTCCTTCCGCGAACTTTGAGTTAAAATGGAGGAGTTTAGGATGCAGCGGCTTTTTAAGCTCTCTGGATGGTTTCGGTTTCCCAGCAGTGGGAGGGGTTTCTGCAGAACCGGGGGTCGGTTCTGGATGGACTACTATCTGGAACCAGGAGCGCTCCCAGTCTGGCCCCAGAGAGGGGGAGCCGATAAACACCGGAAACCAGGATTTATTCCCCTGCAGATCCAGTTTCACTTGAAATATTCACAACTTAGGAGAAAATCTGTCGGTCCGATCAGAAGAGGCCAAAAGGTTGGTTTGCTGCATTTACCACAGCTAACCAACACCGGGCCTCGTTACTGTGAAACACGGTGGTGGCAGCATCATGACTGTTCGCCAGTGGCGCAACTACATATTATTCAGGTGGATGCGAAAACATAAATCGGGTTACAATCATACCAGTTATTGTAACCCAATTGACAAAACAATGAAATATTCATATAACCCACGAGACACAGAATCTAGATTGAAAAAATAAAAGTAACATTTCAGGCATTTTGAAAGGAAATAGTGTTTTTTAATTCTCTGATGTTTCCTGTTCTGCAGATAACAGATTTTTGTAAGTTTGTCTCATAAGAGGATCTGATGAAATGATTATCTGATCAGAATAAATCAACTTTCCATAAAATGACTGAAATAAAGCAGAACGTATGAAACTGCAGTCACTTCCTTACTTAGTTTTCTGACAGAAAACTGCAGATGAAGAAGGATTTTAGTTCCCAGGAGTCCAGGTCCAGATTCATGTCTGGGTGGGAAAATAAAAGTTCTGGAGTGAATCTGACAGAGGAAGGCCACAGATTAGTCTGTACCTGAAGCTGCTGCAACAACGTTTCGGGATGTGAAACCAAATTATTCAAGTTTTTTATGTATTTTTCACTTGAGCAGAATATTTCCTAAACGTCTTATTATTCACAGAACCAGCAGGTAAACGGACCTGGTACCGGGTTTCCACAGCTGTCAATAAAACCATAATGTCTTTATTATGTCGTAACTCAGAAACCTTTAGAACCATCTGGCTACTGTTTACCAAGATATAGGGAACTAAATTGGGGCCTTAAAGTTTAATGTTTTTAAAATAAATTTTCTGAAACTGTAAAAAACGCTTTAATTTGAAAAGTATTTTTGTAGTTTTGTGGAGTAT